TAGTAAAATAAAAATATTATAATAAATAATTATATTACATAAATAATATTAATAATAATTATATATATATATATTAATTAATTGATTGATTAGTTATTTTGTATTTATTACATAAAGATAAAAATAAGAAAAGTATTTATGACATTTTTCTTCAGTGATATATATAGTATTATATGTATATTTTTCATTTATTATTTTGTCATATTTAGTTCATATTTATTTGACACCTTGTATACGCCTATGTCTTCTCGGACATTATATTGTAGCCTTGCGACGAAATTTCAGTCGAGAAAACAAGCACAAGCATCGTTTGTTTACAAACTATCCGCTCACACGTACATAGACCACACGTCAGTGTAGTGAGTTACCACTACAAACAAATGCATACACACGGACCTACGCGGCGTAGGCTATGCCGATAATGTCATTTCATTTTTAATACCATCGAAATGATGGCGCTTTCGCGTCGGAGTTCGGCTGCCACTCCAGCATCCTCTTAAGTATTAGTTTTCAAAAGACTAAACAAGTTTATTCGATCAAACGCCAAAAATCAATTTTGGTTTACATAAATGAGAATAGAATTTTGATTTTAGAAGATAGATAGATCGATAGATAGATAAACTGATAGAGAGAAAGAGTGAGGGGAGGGGGCATTGAAATTGATATAGGCCTCCTAAAGTAACATATTTCTCAGAATTGAAATATTACGTTTTATCAAAACTAATTTAAATAATATAAACGTGATCTGTTCAATTAGTTAATTCATTAAAACCCCATAGTTTGTACATATTTCTTGTTTATTTATATATTACATCAGATTACATCAAATTCTTTAAGTTTAAAATCTTTGTTTTTATAACTTTTTTGGAGAATTATTTAATCTAAATAACAATAATTATATTTTTTGATAATATCAAGTTATTTTGCATTCTTTGTATAACTTTCTAAAAGTCTTTTTATTTTTGCTTTCGCTTTTATTGCTTTTCTCACGGTACAATTAGGAGGATATTTTAGTAAGGTGTACCGAAAACCGACATACTCTACAGTGAGCGATTTATTGATATGTATATTTATATAAATTGACATACAGAAATTCCATTATAATTACAGAATTTCCGGAAAACAAAGAATTGAATTATATCTATCTAGTTTTGTATAGATGCCTTGCATACAAAAAGTAAATAGCATTAGTATATAATTAATATATTAACGATATTTCTTGTGTATTGTAGTTAAAAATAATTTAGAATAGATTTGTAATATTAAACAACTTAATACATTATCAAACAGTTTATAGCAGTACATTTTTATATTTCTAACATGTTCTATAATTTTCCAGTAGATTGGTTTTAAAACTCAATTTTTTCAGACTCAATTTTTGTTTGCTTTTGAAAACCGTTAATCATTTAAAAATTAGAAACAATAATGTAAAAAGTATAATACATTTAATACAAAGCAGTATCTATTGTATAAATTTTTATTTTGTGTTTTTAGCTAAGAGATAACTTACAAAAAAAGGATATATCAGTTTTGATGCCTTTTTTTGAAAATCAACGTTCTGTTGTTTACAGCTTTAAAGATTTAAGATAATTTCTTAAGAAAAGTTTGAAGAAGTTCATATTTATATTTTTGGACAGTAAAATTTCCAATACGTCATTCTTCTTCAATATCCAATTTATGTAATAATTATCTAGCAAAAGGGATAAATAAATATTACTTACTGTTTGTTATTAACATATGTGCGGATACCAGTCCAAAACATATCAGGAGTTATCAAATGGTGTAACATGCGCCATATATTGGATGCTGAAACAATTAAAATTATAATGTGCTTGTTAAGTACTTTAAAATACATATTTTTTAGAAGTTAAGATATATTTCTTTTATAATGAAATTTATGTATGTCAGTACATTGTATTTTAAATTATGTGTGGTTCAATTTTTTATTTTCTTTTATAAAATTTAAAAATTTGCATATTATTCAACAGTATTATTTAATTATATTTACTTTAACCATTTGTAGGATTTTACTGATATTTTCCTAACTTACGCTTTATATGATCTAGACGATAGCTAAGTGAATTCGTTTCATTTGCATCAGAAGAAGTATCAAAGAGAAAAGATTTCCGTTGTGTTTCGGCGATAAATAAATTCATTATGTCATAATCCGGAGGAATCTAAAAAGTTTAAAATAATAAAATAAATATTTGGTCAAGATTTTATATTTGAAACAATACACCACCGTTGATAGCACGATAATATTCTGTGAATGTGCTATGAACATTATCTAATGTTTATTGTAATATTTATAGAACGTTCCTATAATCGCAATATACAATACATTCGTAGAATGTGCATAGGACATACGAATGGGACTCTTTCGAAGATGTTATACAAGTGCATAGAGTGTTCAAACAGATGTTCATGGTTTTTCGTAGCATGTTCCTAGCATGTCTGGAGCATGTTCAGAGAATGTGTACAGAATGTTCAGAGTACATTCAGAGAATGCCAGTAGGATATTCAGAGGATGTTCTGTGAATAAATATTTCTGCCTTATTTATGGCGGTTTTGGTCAAACAAAAAAATCAATATATAGTTAAATTTAAATTTAATACGTTACGGCTATTGACACTAGCCCTCATAATTGCCAATAGCTGAATTGTATTAAATTACAATTAAATCATATACTGATTAATTCATTTTTCACCGAAACTGCCACAAATACGGAAGAAATTTTTATTCATTATACAGGATGTCTGGCAATAATCGCCCCACCGGTCAT